AAAAAAAAAAAAAAAAAAAAAAAAAAAATCTATAGATAGATCATTTTTGGTTATATGGCAATTAGCAATGTCAATTCTGCTGATCCAGGGGAAGCCCCTCCCCTTTTTTCAGCACTGTGGGTTAAACCCAGGGAGTGTGCTCCCTGCAAGTTACGTCCCCAGCTTTATTTATTATTTTTTTTTAATTTTATGAGATAGGAGTTCACTAAATCCCTTAAGTACTTAAGTGGAGTCAAAGGTAATAAAATACACTGGGTCTGTCAACAAGAACAGAAAAGTGAAACCCAATACCAGTGGAAGGTTTATGGACTATTTATTTTAAAGTTGCAACTCTTTCCTTCATAACCTACCACTAAGATTTTTTTCATATCATGCACTTCTCTGCATTCAGCAGTTCTAATTTGGACGGAGAGCTACTTTTCTTTTCTTGGGTGAATATTCTGGAGCATTGGAATTAGAAGTGGAACTAAATGTTATGTGAAATTATACTACATCTTTGACATTCATATTTAGGTTTAATTTGGCTTTTCCCCATGTTTAAGATTTGGCAGTTGAAGATAGCAGTTCCTATCTAATTTTGTCTAATTTGCAGGGAGGATTGTAAAGCTGTTTCCTCTCAGTCTTTGTACCACAACACCTAGGACAAAGGAGCTAAGCTGTAGGGCATCCGCACCTAGTAGGTATAGGAGGCGGTGAAGAGTGACTGGGTGGAGGCAGTGCCCGAGGAGCCAGTGTGAACATACTTTCCTTTGGCGGCCTCACAGTTCGCCTAGAAACAAGCGAGAGCAAACAGAGTTAATGGGATCAACGTGAGAAAAAGAAAAAATGGAAACAAAGTCTTTGTAGATAGAGTGGGTTGGAGAGGTTGAAGGGAGAGCAGGGGAAAGGGGGAAAACGAGAACCAAGATAGACTATGTAAAGGTGCAAATTTCCAATGTACTAATAAAGTAATTACTTAAAAAAAGAAAAAGAAAAAACTGAGGTAGGGGGAACGTAGCTCTTGGCATGACACTCTACTGCTGATTAGAATTTTTTTCCCCTTCAGTGATGCTGCTGAATATTTCCTGCCTTAATATATTAATCTCCTTTTTATTTTAGCTTTTCCTATTATTTCTTTGGCAAGCATGGCACTTGTATCAGTCAATGGTGAAACTTCTTTTTAGTGTGAGCCTTACTGCAACCACAGTACTAAAATCTAAATTTGAGAAACTTCTCAGTAGTATATTATGCTGTAGCCAAAAAAGTATTTATTTAAAATATTGTTCCATGTTCTATTTGGATTTGTCCAGGAAAACGTGTGACTTTCCTGTAATTGTTAACACAGTATCACTTGATTCCCTGTGGATATCTCAATTAAAGCCAAATCCAGAGATATGAAACATTTGTAATACTAAATACCACTCAATAGTACCACTTCTAGTTACTGTTGCTATTGTCTGTTCTCTGCACGACTGTCCAAGATGTGCATATATTAAATCAGTGATTCTTTCATGCACCGTAAACATTACTTAGGAACTTGTTACTAAGTGTGGGTACACTCTGACTTTTCCCCTGAGTTAAAAACTCAGTATATGGGGCTCAGCAACATACATTTTAACTCCTCCAGGTAATTTAAGGCATGCTCAAGCTTGAGAACTGCATGCTAGGTGATAAACTCAACTTCCCCTCTGTGAAGGTGGCCCTTCTGACCTGCACTTTCACAATCCCTCCACCCTGTGAGGCTCACCTCCCCATTCCATCTACCACACACACTGACAATCATTTCCCTGTCTTCCATCTTCAAGGTAAGCACTACTTCTAATATGTTACACTTCTCTTAAGCCCAGCTCAGCTTCCTTGGGCCTTCCTTTCCTTTAGGGCCTCATCATCAAACATTTGACTAACTTGGTTCCTTGCCCAGCCTCTGTGAAATTTTTTTCTACTTATTCACAAATTTCTTCATTCATCCTCTTATATAATTGCTGATTTCATGGTGGCTTCTCTTGCTCATTTTTCCAAAATAAAAGGAATGCCAGATTCAGCCCTCAGTCCTCTTATCTTCTTCCCACAAAAGTGCCTCTGTTGAAATTATCCTTCAATCTCCTGCCATCAACTCTACTTCCAATGCAAATAACTCAAAACTCTTTCTGGCTCCAGTCTTTCTACTGAGCTCTCATGCCATATTTTTAAATACCCAGTAGACATTATCTGTACAAACCCTTCCTAGCCTTAAGAAAACAATTCTCTGTGCAAGAATATCAGACCCCAAGTATCAAGCTGATAAAGTAAATAAGAGGTAGAGGTATCTTACCACAGCCCTTTTCATGAAAGCCTCCTGTGTTGCCTTCTTGTTTGCAGCCTTGCCGCCCCAGGCAGCCAGTGCACTGGCCTGCAGGGCCCGCCCATAAGAGAAACTTAGTTTCCAGGGTTTGGGTAGATGGCAAAGGTTAATTGCATTGAGGTTGAGAGTAGCATCCTCTTCACTCATGCCGCCAGACAAAAAGCAGATGCCTAAAAGGAGAGAAATCATTTCACTGTTTTATTCCCAGCTTCTGTGCCCTGGTTAAAGAAGCAACAGTAAGCCTAAAAGAAATATAACATCTCAATCTTTTCTCTACTTGATTTACATGGGATTGGACCAGAAAAATCAGTTCTGTTTTGCTAAGGTTGGTTGACCTAAGGAGAAAGGGGCTTTAAAAAAACATCAAGTAAGTAAATGGATGTGAGCCTGTAGACAGACTCACAATACTTAGCATCACATAGTAGGAAAGGAAGTGTTGGCTGAAATAGCAGAGGTCTGTTTTAATGATAGAAGCAGACTCCACAATAAACAGAAATACTACGCCAGTCTTTCAAAGGATGAAGGTTAAAACTTTGAGTTACAGAATAAAGAAAGTCTTACCAGGAACAGCTGCAGGGACAGTACGGTGGAGAGCTGTGACAGTAGCCATAGCCACTTGCTCAGGTGTATACTTCTTGGTGCAGGCATGTCCAGCAGTCACCATGTTGGGCTTTAGCAGGGTGCCCTCTAGGTAAACATGATGGTCGTTCAGGGCCTTGTAGACAGCAGCCAGGACCTGAAGGACAAAAGGGACCAAACAACTGAAAGCCAGAGTTAGTATTTTAACACTTCAATACTACAAGGATCCAGGATGAAGTAATTCCTATATGTTCCTAGCCAAAGCTTCTAAATGCACCACCAGGCCCCATCTGGAAAATGTGTGCAATCTATAGCCATTGAGGACAACCAAGCTTATCTATCCTCCAATTTCAACTCTAATGCTCTACTGCATGCACTATTGGTATCTTTCTGCTTCCTACAGACCCTTTCCATTATGCTTCCCATTATGCTTTTGGTCAGTATCATTTCCTAATGAGACTGTCTTGACTTAGCTAGTTGGGGACACCTAAATTGACCTCCACTATTCATCCCCAAAGAAGCTGAATGAATAGTCATTAAAAACATACATTTTAGAGGCATGAGCACTTTCAAATCCTATGTACGTCCACATAATTTTGCAAGGAAAGAAATTAAGGCCAGATAATAAGTTTCTCATACTTTCTCACAGTGTATAAGGAAGAAAGTCTTATTCCAGAATTACTGTGCCTAATTTAGAAAGTTAAACATCATACTTTCTAATTACATTTTCTCATGTGTGTCTCAGATCTTATTTTAAAATTACTTGCTCAAATATAATGAAACCATGGTCCAAAAGAGATAATATAAGCCAGGGATTTAGCTTAGTGGTATCACACCTGCCTTGCAAGTGCAAGGTCCTGAGTTCAATCCCTGGTACCAAAAA